ATCTATGAAAGAGGAACTTCAATCACACAAAAATAGCTCAACGGATTTGAATGAATTCAAATACACATGTAGGTCATGTATTCTTACTACTTTATATCAATATATAAAGTGCCTTGCGTGCATGGATACTTTTATTACTGACTCAAATGGGTAAATTCGTGGGACACAACAAGTTAGTAATAATTCTTTAAAAATATTTGCCATTACAACTATTATTAGTAATATTTTTGATAGCTACATAATGTTTAGTTCGATTCCAAGTATTATAATATGTGCTTCCATCAGCAAACTAACGAAAATTAATTATTACTCGGAACTAAGTCCCTATTACTGTTTGTACAACCTAAGCTGATTTACCCACCAAAGTTTGTTTGGATTTAATTGAAATGTTCTCATCGTATCCCGAACTTAAATATACCAATTGAAGCAAAATACGTTTTCGTTGTTATATAATACATATAAATACCACTGGACACGTTATACAGCGACATATGGCACCAAACTCAGCGCAATTTGCACTACAAGTACTAAGGAAACGAATAGACATATTTTGGTATTTTCTTTGTTATATGAATAAATATACGAATACAAATATTATGTGGAGATCAAACTTGTGGCCATTGCAATGTGAGGCGATGGGTTAAACCGCTACCCCACCAAGGTCATCAAGCATATATCATATTGCGCAAAGCTTGGAATTGTTATGCATTTTTTTTATCTTAATAGTTTTTTAGTTAGATACGTAGATGCTGCTTTAGAAATTCGCTCTACTTTTGGAATGCAACTAATCACCAATCGTCAAATAATCTGTCCGTTTCGATAAAAATTATTATCTTTAATAAAATCTTTAAAAAAACTCTTTCTTCCTTCGTAAAAAGAAAAAAAAAATGTAAACAAAAAAATTACAAAAAGCAAATAAATAATAATGGAGGCCTTCTCATATAATTTTCAATGCTCCATAATGAATTATCTTAATGAGGTTAATCTGACTATAAGATTAATCATTATATTTAATTAACTATCTTAAACCCAAGAGGCATTCTCTATCAGTCAATCAAGCAGATAGATTGTTGGCAATACAAATAGTAATTCATGTCAAGAAGAAAATGTCTCTGAGGAAAAAATAAGTAAAGTATAAATATGTTTTAAAATATACTCTTTATTGAGATTTCTTCTTGAAGTTTTAAAAAGTAATATAAAATGACCTCACAAAATTATTTACTTATTTTAGTCATTTAAGAAAGTAAATAAAAATTTAAAAACACAGAATTTATGAGTACGAGTATATGAGTCAGGGAGATGATGAGCACATTACGATTAATAAACTGGCATTTTCGTGAGTATATTTTAATTATGACACTTTTGAATATGAACCGTGAAAAGTACAGTTATATGCGTATTTGTATTTTTTTAAATAATCTATATTTTTTTAGGTAATTAAAATGTAAAGTAACTTGAATGAGATCGCTATTTAGCTAAAAAGCCACCCATTGTCACCTATTTATCTTGTTATTTTTGTAATTAAGTATCCATTTTATTTGTGTATATACTATTAATCTTTATTATCTATATCACTGCTTGAAAGGAACAATAAAGAGTTTTCATTCATTCATTCATTAAAACCCCTCTGTCATATATAATAGGTATTTATCCTGTTATATATGACAGAGAGGTTGAAACATTTATAATTCGACTTGTGTATCTTAATAATTATGATGATATATTGTGTAAGAAATATTTTATTATAATACAAAGATATATTCAAAGATCTTACAATCAAAAGTAACATATAAGAAACACTTATCCGAACCCGACGTCTTTGTGTGAAGGCAAAATACACAATAATATTCTTCAGTAGTGGCATTTATGGAGTCATTTTTCCTTTATCGTTCTACCGTTTCGTTTCCCACCTTTCAACTAGGTACCGTTACTTATATTGTTCGTTGGACTTGAATGCTATGTAAATGAAGTATTTTCCGCTTGAGCTCCAAGGAATAGCTATTGTGGTCGCAAATGTATGCTAATGGTGCACTGACAGTTTTATTCTCTTCACATCAATCAGTGAATATAGTTTATTTATAGAATTACCTATACTCGTGAAATAATTATCAGGTATTCTGATCCTATACCTTCTTATTCATAAACATGTCAAACGTCTTATAAACCTACTTTTGCTATTGCACTGTTTTGTCTCTTTCCATTGTGCTAAGTTCCCAGCTTGAAAGAAAGTAACAAAAGACTGTTGGTCTGGCCATGGAGAGCCAATACCCACAATTGGGTATACAAGAAATCTACCGGGTCAGACGCATGGGGCCCTGGGTACACTCCAGAACTTGGTTGTTACCTTCCTTATTGCAGCAGTATCGAATAAACTGGCTCACTCACCTTATGTACCGATATGCTTTCACGTAGGCCGGCCGACTGAACAGCAGCAGTTCCAAGATGGAGAATGCGAAGCAATGTGAACTTTTTCGCACCACAAGACACTAGAATCCACACACTTCACCAGTGAATAGTACAAATATCCATACAGTTTTTTGTCACAACATAAAACAGAAACGTTCAGGGTGCAACTTGAATGTAGGTACTGACGCTTTTGGGTTTTATAAGTTTTTTAATTAAACATGGCAGTGATAGAAGCTGCGAACGGAGACACTCGCGCGCGTTGACATCACCGAACCGCGCGAACAAAAACTCTTCGTTCCTATTGGCTGTCGCCTCGACATCTTCGGGCATGCGCAGAAAAGCCGCGCAAACATTTCGCGCGAGATTTGAGTGAGCCTTATGCAACACCCACTGCAATACGGAATCGCAACCAAGTTACGGCCCAAACAACTGTAATAGTTAATATAGAATTGTAGGAGGTTTCAGTTTTTATGAATAAGAGGGTTAGTATTTATATAATTTATGGTTTTTATCTCTTTATTACTACTGCTTATCTTAATATCAGAAATTATATCAATTGTTATTGTCTTTCTTGTCCATTATGGGTGTATTGTACATGGTCTTACAATTTACTAATAATATAATTAAACCCTTATACTCCCCTCTTTTGAAAATACGTTATTATTTTTTCTTTTTTTTTTTAGTTTTTGACACACATATTACGTTAGAACTCCAAATCAAAATATAGAAAGAAAATTACCATATAAAATGGGTAAATCCAATTGCGATGTCTATGACAATATAGTCTTATGTTTTTTTTTTTAACTATAAATAACAAATAGGTTAACAAACCACCCGATAATAAGTGGTGACTATCATTTATCTTAATAATGTAAATAAGATAAGGAATTTGGAGCAAACTCTAGAAATGGGCAGATCACAATAGCAGTTACTACTACTAATCGTGTAAGAATAGTTGCCAGAGGGTCTCAAGAATTCCTAGGCTGTCTATGTTATAAATACGAAGGCTTTTGATGCACCAGAAGATAGCTTTATTTGTTTACCAATGGAGGCTCTCAAATAAATAGTATTTTTTTAATATTTGTAACCTAATAACTCCGTCATTTACAAACCGAATTAGAAAATTTGTTTTTTACCTGAAAGGGTATACTTTCAGATTAGTTCTGTAGAAATTTTATCAAATATTAAATGTTCCAAACATGTACATGTACATTACTGCTTATGTCTAAAGGCTACAGTTACCACTTTCTATCAGGCGGGCCAGTGGGCCAGCTTGCCACTCCTAGTTGCATGAAAAAAAACATAAATTTGATAAATTCAAAGATTTAAGCTGAGATTCAATCTTAAGAGATTCGGCCGCAGTCAAGCGTTGTCCAACTAAGATATAACCGCATATAAATAAATCGTATAAATATTGAAATTAAAATACTGAAATTGGTTAAATACCAATATTATAAATTGTTCAAGTATATGTGTATATATTAATACAAAATATTTAATTCCAAAACTCACCGACACATTATCGTTGTCCTTAGGGAATACTATTTGAATACTATGTAAATAAGGTTGTGATTTTAATGTATTTCAAGTAGATACTCTAAAGAGAGTTTCTGATATCTCAAGAGTCTTAAAATACATAAAAAGAAGCTTTTATAAAATAGAAAATAAAAGTAACTTGACTCTCCGCTGTTGCCTTCAATAAGATGAAATCAGTCTTTTCCAATAACGTATATCAATTTATTTGTTTAAACAAATGTTTTTTATTTAACTTAAATTATTTAACACTGAAAATTAGCATCATCCCCTAAGAGGACATGACATATAGCTAAGCTAGCTAATACAATTTTACGACTTTTATGCCGATTTTAAATAAGAGCAGGAGGTTTTCAATTCATCGGAATCTTGAATTTTTTTATGTATGTTCCGCAATTACTCAATAAAACATGGACTAATTCGAAAAATCTTTTGTTTTTATCCGTAAGATATAATTAATATAAAGATAATTCAGTAAGTAATTATGGTTTGCCTAAACGATCGCGTTACTTCCCGTCTCTTACAAATAATTTTTGACATACAAAAGATTTAAATTTTCAACCTTTTGAAAATTTTGGGTCATGATAAAATAATCTCTGGATTATGAAGCTTATAAATTTATGCTTACTAAAATTAAATTCACTCACACGTGCGACTTCGATATGAGAAACCTCAGTGCACAATTTCATGTTTATGAACCTGCAAGTGTCGACGTACAGTTGATAATAATATATATAATAAGTAAGTTTCTCTTAAATATATATAAATACTAGCTATCTCTTACGGCTTTACGCACGCAAATCAGTTAATAACTTATGTGTTAGGATATAATCTGTCCGTATACAAAATTTCATTCAAATCCATTAAGCCGTTTAAGTGTGATGAATAACAAATATACAAAGGTTAATTTTCAACTTTCGCGTTGTTTACACATATTTTAAATATACCTCCGGGACTTAATTGGTACACTAATACGCGATAATTTGTTTAAACGCACTGTGGATATTCTGATTGCGGTGTGTAAGTTGGACTAGACAATAATAGTGACAGTGTGAGAGTACCCGAAAAGACTCCGCGAGCTGCCAAACGAAGATGCCGCTTACTTCAGTCCTGTCATGACCATGACATGGTGCAATCCACATCGAAGCATCGGCAATAAAGAAGCAGGTATGTAGGTACTATTTACCTGAAAAAAAATTTCATCACGTTAAGTCCCGATACTATATTTAAAACATACATGCCTCCAAATATTTTTACATTTAAATATACAAAAATTATGAAAACAATATTATTATTTACAGATAGAAAATAGTTATAATGCCTACAAACTGTTAAATAAGTAACAACGCATTGCCTATAATTATAGTAACATTACATTACATTTTACCCGCGCCTTTGTCCTCATGACCGGGATATGCTCACTGATCAGAATAAAAAGTAGCCTATGCTCTTCTCCAAATTCCATTCTATCTCTATACAAAAATTTGGTTCAATAAGTGAGGTGTTGTTACCTTAACAGACAGAGTTACTTTCACAATATTAATAGAATAAGATATACTAATAGAAAGAAATCACAGATCAAAGGTCAGCGTGATTATTAGATGGCAGTTAAAACAACCAAGTTATAAAAATTCAATGTATAAACAAACAACGGGGCAATTCGCTTTAATGGATCACTTGCGTAAATATCATTCGCCGAATGAGCACCATTTAACAACTCCGAGAAATGTGTTTAGGCTTAAGATTACCTTAAAATTTTAATTGTTTCTCATTTACACTGGCGACAAAGTTGTATTAGCCTTTAGAAACCGAAGTCGGGAAGTTTAATTGTTCGTTTCAGGAAGTAATTAGTGTGTTGGGAGAGTAAAAACTAATTGTTGTCTGTGACACTTATATTACTGCGAACGTAACAGGTACACAGGTAATATTACAGTTACTACTGTTTATTTTAAACTTTGTATACTTACTAATGGCTAATAGAGTAAAATGTTAAATCAGTTTAATAATGTAAAAGACGGGGATTAATTCGATTCACATATTTTACTGAAAATATGGAGCCATTTAGATTTAAACGGAGTTTAATTAAGATTAACGTACTTGCATGGTCTCTCTCCATTATTATCAATGTAACAATGAATATAATTTTTGTTTTTATAATACCATATAAGTATATATATCTATCATAGAGGTATAACCTAATCGCAAAATCCATTAATATAAAATAATTACTATATCTGTAATATATGTAGATAGTACTGTTGTAATCATTTAGTATCGATTATTAATCGTTAATTCAAATAGATCCATGAAGAATTACATTATATAATCGATAATCACTACATAGTATAAAACAAAGTCGCTATCGCTGTCTGTCTGTCCTATGTATGCTTAAATCTTTAAAACTACGCAACGAATTTTGAAGCGGTTTTTTTTTAATAGATAGAGAGAAATGATTCAAGAGGAAGGTTTATATGTATAATACATGCATAATATAGTAGAGAAACTCTGATAAATGTAGAGGTTTCTAATGTGATGTCATAAATAAACACATTCATGGCGCTTACATTGCAAACGCTGACTGAACGCCACGAGATAAAGCAAAATAATGTACTACAGTATTGTACACCTTAAAAAGGTCAACAAAAAAGTCCGCTATGGTATATGTCTATCTCTTTAGGATAACCTGCAATAACCATTTTTTATCGTTTACATTTTACGGAAAAAAATAGTTTTTTTTACGAAGAGATTCTAAATAATATAGTATAATTTTTATCCAATTAAGTATCTTAAATACATTGTCCATTTAATATAGATAAATATGGCTTTTTACAGTATGCAATTTAAATGAATATTTCCGAAGATATTACAGATTTAAAATGCAAGGACATAGCGGTGCGGCCGCGCTTCGCCCTGTAGCACTTTATCATGTTTATATTGTCTAATGACAAAAAAGCTGTAAACGTTGTTTATAAGGACATTCTGTAGTAGGTAGGTATATATAGTATCAGCATTGCACCCATGCGAAGCCGGGGCGGATCGCTAGTATTACATAGAGTAATGTACTGTTATAAGTTTAAGTGACCTAGACTAACATTTTTTGGTCAGATTGGCTATGTTCTATTTAAGGAAGGAAGTCTTCGAAACTAGAATATATGCATAAGACGAGTTATGAAAGTAAATGAAGAATGAGACATATTTTCTAACCAGCAATGACGACGAAAGACCAAAAGAAGGATAAACAATTAAAGTAATACGAATTGCAAGTACTGTACTATTGATTATTACACAATTCACAATATTGTTTTAAACTAGCTATCGATATTATCAATACTGTTAATAATATTGTATTGAATATTATTGATTTTATCGATTTATTCAGTAGTATTTATAGGAAGTTATCAATCGATACTAAAGAATCGATTAACAAATTATTATTTGGGCATCACTATATGGTATATAGTGGCACTAAATAATAACACTAAATAGCATCGATAAATATACAACGGCAACGGTAGCTGCTGTTGCTGGTAACATAGTTATTTTCCAGTCACTGGACCAGTAACTAACTTTACTAGTTATTCTTGCACACGACAACATTTGAAGGAAACTTTTCATGACATAGCAATTAGTCGTCAGGGGATAAATTAGTAGCAATAAATTAGTTTTCCAATACTTCTGGGTTCTGTTCAAGACAACTCTATAAATAGAGTTGATAGTAGGACTGACGATCCACGATTTCGTTCGTATAGTAACCGAAATAAATATCCGGATTTAGAATTCATAGAACGACCTTGTATCTTATTATTCGATCATCGATTCTGATAACACATTCACCAGTTTTTACCTAATAAAATTTCTTTAAATCCGTTCAGACATTTTTTCGTTATGATATAGAATATCAAACAGATTTCAATTCTAAAAAGACTGATTTGTGTTCCATCATTTATTTCAAATTGTTAAAGAGGGCTTGCCTTAATATTTTTATGTGAAAAGAGCTCACGATCTCGACCCTAATGATTGGGTACAATATTGCTATATATACTCGTATAGAAATAAAAGGTTGGAGGGTACTCTATTTGAATATTAATGAAATGACTAAAAATTGAACTTGATAATGAGGAGACATCATATTCTAGTGGCCAACTTTATGAATTTCAAAAAGTTGTTTTGAATCCAGACAACATTAAAAACCAAAGTTTTTATGAATCTTAAGGTAAGATGAAGCGAGATACGATGAGATCATGACATCCGTTATTGCAGAAAAGTTACTTGTCTTTGGTTAATGTATGTCAATTTAAGTATTACACATTATAGTAATCCTCAGCTTCAAATGAATTAATATCGGAAAAAAACAATTGAAATATATTTTTTCTCACTAGGTATTATTTTGTGTAGTTACTTATATTTATAACATACACAAACATTAAATTGAAACCTGTTTTTAATTATTTAAATGATACGCTGACTTTTATTCCGGCGATATATTCCATCGCAAATCATCTGAGTACTTTATCATCTAAACAGAAAATGCTTATGAATCTAAGAGGTATACGTGTGCATGCATCCATAAACGATCGTGTCTGTCTGAACAAGAAATTAAACCCTTAATGAATATTATGCTTACAGTTACCTAATGTGATGTTAATCAAAATCCGCGTAAATTTAACTGGGTTGTCAAAGTGATAATCTAATATTTTATAAATTTATGCAAATATAACATTTGAACTATTAAGGCTGCCCTGATGCGCACTAATTCCTATAGTATCATATATCGGACAAATGATATTTCATTTAAAATAAAATTATTTAAAAGTATTTAGAATTTACATAAACTGTGTCTTGGTTATTTATTACTTATTTAATATATTTTATGTTTACTAACTGTGAAAATATACCCTTGTGGATGCATAAGACTATTTATAAAACTAAATACAGAAGGAAATGTGTACGTATCTATAAATTTAGCAGAATAGCTTTAAAACCTCGCGTAACAAGAAATAATTATAATTGTATTGTACAAATTGCTTTAATTTAAACGCTTATTATTTTAATGAAAATACGTATTTGCTGATTTGCTAAGTAAATATAAGATTAACATTAAACCTATTAACACGCGAGCACACAATTATGCATATGGTAGCAAATTTTGCAAATTAACAGTTTATTAACTCAGTGGCAACGTGGTGGAGTTAGAAACGTGACACTAATTTGAGCCGTTATATTTTGGCACATTGTTGAAATTATTATAATTAAATACTTAGGCCATCATTCTGTCACTGTTTATTAGTAATACACATTAAGTCTTAAATAACGAAGTATGCACATAAAGCTATTCGGCGTTTTATGATACCGGGTGGGATATTTTACTATCAAATAAATAAATCACAGTAATACTAAATCGTTTTGTTTATGGAGCTACTGGCACATTTTTAATATCATTTAATAGTATTACAATGTTTTGTATTGCTCAAGAATAAACTAGTAATATCACCTTTTGTTTCTCTTTCATTCATGACTTTATAATATAACCTCCATATAATAATAATAATAATAAAAAATACAAAGTTAATTCGAAATCACTGTAAGCTTTTTAAATAATCAGTCATTTACGAGTTAAACTCACACGTCGAGTGTTTCTTCCATAATATATACATGACATAAAATGATCTTTAATTTCTCATACGAAATGGACACCTAATTTACGAGTATATTTATTATTGATACTATAATTTGTAATTTCTTATTTTGGGTCATAACTGAGGTCAAAACAGGACCGCGCAACTAAATTTGTTTTAGAGATTTTTTGATAATTTCTTGAAAACGGTACTAGTTAGAAACGTTTTATATTTTCTGTATTATTCACATATATCTTTATAACTATAATTATTCCGAATTTTCGCTCCATAAACATCGGAGGTAAAGGATTTTTTTTTTTTCATACAATTTCAATTGTTAATAATACGGACTACCGGTCCCATTGCTAGTAATATACTCTGTCAGATCAACCTCCACATGGTCCCCCTGGAAACCGTCGTATTAAATCCCAGGTGTATTCATCACGATGGGCTTACTGACCTATATCATTCATTCTCACCTATCATCCTTCACTGGTGCCCCGCCATCGTATAGCGTTAGCGCAGACGAGCTAACTATTCCATTATCATCCATTAAAACCTTCCTAACCTA